ARRAAAAAAATTACAGTTCACCTTCTTTCCCTAGGAAATAAAGGCACAGAAATATCCCAACAAGGCTCTCTCTGCCCCATRCATATTTCTTCAGTTCAGAATCACTCTCCCACATGGGAACTCTCAGCAAATGAACCTTGGGTGCTTTTCAAGTTTTTCTCAGCCCTGCTGGTGCCATGTTCAGGTGCCTGAAGTAGCAGCCAGGCACCAGAGGTTTTTAAAGCTTTCCAATGCCTAATTCCCACTGATTTTATTTCAGCTGTAAGGATCTGTATGTTCATGTCTTGCCYGAGGTCGTGAAAGGAAGCTGTGGAAGAGCTGGGAAGTGAAATGAGATTTCCTGTCTCAGTCCAAATACCTTAATCAGAAAGCGATGTTTTATATCACAGTTTATGACAAGAAAGCCAAGAAACCTTATTAACTAATCTARCTGTGATCTGGGCTGTACAAAGAAATCAAGTGCAGCATTTTATCATCCTGCTGAAGACACACACATAGATTATGTTGTGTTGATCAAGAGTTTGCTCTGTTATACCTTGGATATTTTCCTTTGAAGAACTTAATAATACTTTTAATGCCGTGGATTTCCATGAAATTATGTCCTCCCTATCTGTTAGTGTCAAAATAGATCATTCTTTTCTTTCTCCTCTGCTGCTTTTTATGGYTTAAAGATGAAAGCTAGGCTAATATTGCAAAATAAAGTATTTAAGCTGCATTTTGTCTMCAGTAGTTAGCATTACTCTCTAATTACTACATCCTTTCCACAATTGTTAGCTTTGCAACAGCTTTTATTAGGGACTTGCTGAAAGAAACTTGTATTAGGCATTTTTATTCTGTGTGCATAAGTGTTTCAGGTGGGCAGAGATGGAGCTGCCAGGTTGGTGGAAGGTGATTTTAATGATCCTTCCCCCCAAAAAATCATTCTATGATCTCTAAAATCACCATCAGTCACTCTTTCCAAATTGATTTGTAATTCTGTGTGTTGCTRATTTTCCTTAAATGGCTGTGATTCACCCTGATCCCACTGAGGAAAACACCCCAGTTACCAGCTTGGGGGTAGGAAAAGGGGCAGAAGGAGAATTGGGAACAGCAGGAACAGAGGTTCACTGAACCCCAGTGCAGTCTGTCCCAAAAGGGGAAGGGGCTCTGGTGTCTCTGAGCTCTGCAGAATGTTCTGGATGGGTTTATCTGTGCCCATGGTAATAACATCCCTCAATGCATTCATTTCAGCAAAGAGGAAGATGTGCAGTGGAACGGGGSGATAATGGGGTTTGTGCTCTGCTCCATTTTTTATGTCATTTGGTAAGTGCTGGTCTTGCATTAAGATGTCACTGTCAGGCTGGATAGCATTAAAGAAGAAAGGAGTTGCTAAATTTCCAGCAGGTCGAAGTATTCTCGGATCCCTAGGCACTTTCAGTAGAAATCTGTTGGAATAAAGGATGGCTAAAAAATGTTTTTAATCTAGGCTTTTTAAAATTTCTCTTTTGAGAGTCRCTGTAATAAATCGAAATTATTGATTTAGCCCATAGCAGTCCTAAGATTCACTCATTTGAGAGTCGAAAGTGCTCTATTACTTAGAGCAATAACCCAGCACTGTGAAATCTCTCATCAGAGACTCCTGGTCCACACCTGCAGATGGGCATTCAGCRAAGATTTCTGTCTGTTTATGGCTCTTGCAGCAGCTGAGCTGTCTGCACGTTTTTCTGGGTGATTCTGTGCCCTCCTCCCCTGCCCTTTGCAGCCTGTGCTCAGTGGCTCTAGGCTCAGCTCAGCCCTGGCCTGGCAGGTTTAACACTGCTCCAGCTTTACCAGGGCTCTGCAGAGAAACAGAACCTGTGTTTTATCCTGGGAGGGTTGTACATCTGTGATTCCAGGGTTTAAACCCCCTGCCTTGGTCAGAGGGGTTAGCACAGCTTTTCATTGAGCCACTCCTGGGCACTGAGAGAAGAAAAATCCTCTTCCAAGAGCAAACACTTCTCAGGGYGCTGAAGGTTTGAATGATCAATAAGTAGGGTAATATCCTACTCAAAAATACCCAAAATTGAAAATCCTGTTCACGTGAGCCCTGGCTGCTCTCAGGGGTTGGMGTGTTGCAGGGCAGTTTGTCCCCATGTCACTTCTGTTTTGCCTTTTATGCATCTTTTATTACCTTTCCATTAACAGAATATTTCCATTCCACCTTCTTTTTCTGCAGCTGCTCTGCTCAGGAGCACTCAGGGGCTCTGCTGGGGCAGCATTTGCTGCTGGCCTGTTCCAGGGGTGAATTAGCCCAGAATCCCTGGCTGGGGATGCTGCTGTGGCCAGCGAGTGGCTGCTCCTCATTGCCCATCTGTGGCTGTGGGTTCAGCTCCTGTGATATCTGAGACCCCTGAATTKCCCTCCCTGGRCTGCTCAAACACATCAAAAAGAGCCCTCACCCCCCTGTGCCTCAGTCTAGCCCTGAATCATTAGCATATTTATAAATTAAAACAAATCCAGGGAGTGAACTGGCCCAGGGGAGCTCTCCATCCAATCAAATTAGACTCATATATCCACCCTGGAGCAATTCCTCAGAAGCCCTGCCTTCGGGAAGCTTCATTTGTAATCACTACGTGCTGTGTACTTTAGAAAAAGTTTTATAATTACTCGCTGTTCCGGCTGCTGAGCACTTCTAAATGTTGKATATTAAGGAACTGCTGTTTCAGTCAGTGAACAAGCTCTGAACATTAAATGTGCTTCTCRAGGAGCATTTTTTTCTCAGCCATTACACATCTCTGAAGGCATATTTTTTTTTTTTTTTTCAAGTGGATGCTTTCCCAGCTGTTGCTCATCCCTCTGTTTTTTCTGTGTGAAGAGAGAAGGAGGGAGATGGTGATGGTGTGACACTGGATAAAGGATGCTGTGCTGGGGAGGGAGGTGATTGTGTCACTCACAGATGAAATAATGATGCAGCTCCTCCTGGAAAAGCACCGAGGAAAGCTTTGTCTCGCACTGTGCGTGCTTTTGGACATTTTTATATCACATGTTTTATAGAAAAAAAATCACTTTAATACAGAAATGTGTAGATGCATTTTGGTCCCATTTTTGGTAGTTCTCCAGCACTAGCATTTCATCCCTTGGGAGGAAGTAGCGTGTCCTTTTGGGTCAGGGGACACTTGGCCAGAATAGCTCARTGAGTGACACCGAGTGCTCAGGAGAGCTGGAAATCCAGATTTAGCAGGGCTTTGTAAAMGGTGATAACAATGATTTCTCTCACAGAATAGCTCATCAGTTATCAAAAACAGGCCCAGGATGGTGTTAAGGTTCTGGAGATCTTTKAAAATGAGAATCAAGTGCTGTGGTTGCCATGAAAGCAGAAGGATGGGTCAGTGGTTAACAGAGATTGGGCAAAGCACAGTTTGGTCCCTTTCCTGTCCCTCCTTCCACTGAGCCTGAACCCTGAACTCAGGAGTTACCAGCAGAGCTTGGGGTTTTTGTTGGGAAGATCACATTTCTGAGCTGTGGGGTTTTTCTTGGGAAGATTCACATTTCTGAGCTGTGGGGCTTTTCTTGGGAAGATTCACATTTCTGAGCTGTGGGGTTTTTGTTGGGAAGATGCACATTTCTGAGCTGTGGGGCTTTTCTTGGGAAGATTCACATTTCACCCCTCCTCAGAGGATCTTTGGAGGAAAGTGTGCAAACTTCTCAATCTGGAGAACTTTCCTGACAGAACAGCTTTGGTGTGTGCAAAGRTTTATTCTCCATTTGGTGCGAGTGAAAGCTCTGAGATGGTCAATCACATGGAAAAACTTTTTCTCTGTTRGTTACTAAGAATCAGAACTAGAAATGGTGAAAATAATGTCATTTAGCAGCTAAATGAACCTGCAGCTCAGGTGACTCGGGTTTCTTTGCATATGATCRCATTTTCAGATAAATTACAAAGTTYCYTYGGGTATATATTCATTTTGAAATGTCCCAGAAGTGTGCAAAGCTCAGTCATTTCTTGTATTTACAGGCTGTGAGATTTATTTAGTAGGAACTCTTCAAATGGCAGTAGGCTGAGTTATGAATTGGTGAAGCCATCCATCCATCACAGAACCACCCAAAATCACTCTTTAAATGCAGGGAAGAAAAGTGCCACTGTCACAGAAATGGTACAATGCCTCTCTTTTGACACAGCGAGAAAACAGCAAGGAAATAAATTTCAGGCATTAGGCAGTATTAAGACTTTTCAGAGGGAGCCATCCAAATGAAAACCCATAATCAAAATAATAATTATCAGGGGAACCATTTGCTTTCAAAGTATCGTGCAAAGTAAAGCACAGAATATGTCTTAAGTAGCAAAAAAAAAAGGTGATTTCTGTTCAGAGGTAGAAAGAGAGTCTGGCACTTGAGGATGGAAGTGCATCAGTTCCTGATGGATTTTCTCAGAAATGGACCTTCATGTACTGTATGTAAAAAAGAGCAGAAAAATGGGAGCTGTTATGTGATGAATGCAGCCCATGATGCGAAAATCAAAATTTAGCTTCTAGACTTCATTGATTTTTTTGAACAATACTTAAAGTGCACACATTTCAATTAACTGGCAATATTACTTTTACACTTCTGAGTGTAAATATCCAAGGTTTGATCCTGCTAGGATCTACTTGCTCAGCCATCCTCAAGGACTGAGCTTACAAGTAATCAAAATTCTTTATAGTTGYTTTATACTATTGACTTCTGTCCATGCAAATATGATTTATTTTTTCCCTTTCTTGTARCAGATACAGTTATTTAGGTCTTCTTGATGGTATGAAGTATTCAGTTATAGTTTGGGTGCGGTTCACTGTGTTTTCCTCCTTCAGCAGAGTGATGGCTGTTCCTGTGCCCGTTTCCCTCTGCAGGAGCACCAGTTTGTTCCACGAGGTCGTGCAGCTGGATTTTGAGATCGCCAGCTTCAGCAGCCTGTCGGGGACCCAGCCCATCAGCTGGCAGGTGGAATATCCACACCGTGGCACCTCCGACACCGCCCTGGCCGAGATCTTCATCTGCCAGAAGGACCTGGTTGGCATCGTGCCCCTGGCCATGGTAAGAGCTTGAG